TAGTAGTAGTAGTAGTAGTAGTAGTAGTAGTAGTAGTAGTAGTAGTAGTAGTAGTAGTAGTATCAGTATTATTATTATCATCATTAGTATTATTAGTATTATTATTATCATTAATATGATTCCCCCTTCCCCTCCTCCTCCTATGAGTCCCCCTTCCCCTCCTCCTCCTCTCCCCCCCCTCCTCTCTCCTCCTCCTCCTCCTCCTCCTCCTCCTCCTCCTCTTCCTCCTGCTCCTTCACATTCCCCTGCCCCCAGGCGGCGTTTGGCGGGTGGAGCGGCAGCTGTCGAGAGGCCCTCCGCAGCGGGCGAGCTCACCTGCCCAGCACTCTGCAGACCGATAACTAATCTGCACCAAGATTTGCACCTCCAATGATTAGATGATCCGTGTTTATGTGCAAATATCTGTGTATATATATACATACATACATACATACATACATACATACATACATACATACATACATACATACATACATACATACATACATACAATACATATACCCATGCGAGTGGAAAATATGTAATACGTAGCACCCCGCAGATGCGGATAAGAGTGAGAGGGCGGTGGGGACGTCGGCAGTTTGCGAGACGTCGGAGAAGCCCGCAGCAGGCGTCAAAGTTTCACGGATTACACAACGAGCCCGTCGCAGGCGCCGATTATTTCGTTAAACCAATGTCGGTAGATCGCGGGCGGGTCGCAAATGGGTCGCGTGTGGGTCGCGGGTGGGTCCCTGCTGGGTCGCGGGTGGGCCGCGGGCGTAGAGGGCATAACTTCTCCTTTCTACAAAATGAGTAGACTGTACCCCCCCCCCTCTTCGCCCTGGGAAAGTATAATTTCATACATATATCCATCGATCTGTATATATATATATATATATATATATATTCTGCGCACTCGTCCATGCGAAATATGAACTCATACCATCCCAGCCAGCCCGGGTTCCCCCCCTGAGGTTCCCTTGGAAAAAACACTATGCGGTGACATGTTTTGCTCTAACATAACACTTGTTCACGAACCCCTTGCAAAAAAAACTGGACGAAGTGCACACGCGCGCGTCGTCGCGCGCGCATGCCGGAATCCTTCGAAAACCTTCGGTGCCGGAAGGATTTCGCAATCGAGTTTCCAAAAAAAACATACAAAAACACATGGTTTCGCAACACTGATTTACTAAAAAAGCTTCCGCGAAAGCTCTTGCGAAATCTTAAGAAAACCATAGCTTTTCAGGATGTTCACAAAATGCTACCAAACGGGCTTCGCGCGCGCGCATGTCGAAATCTGTCGAACGCCCTCGCGCGTGTGCCGTCGCGAGCATCCCCCGCAAAAAATGGGACGAAGTGCAGACGCGCGCGTCGTCGCGGGCGTACGCCGAAAACCTTCAAAACCCATAGGTTTCGGAAGGATTTCAAAATCGTGCGTCCAAAAAACCTACAAAAACACAAGGTTTCGCAACATGGATTTTCAACAAAAGCGTGCGCGCGCGCTCTTGCGTCGTCGTCGTCGTCGTCGCCGTCCTCCCTCCTCCCGCGTCGTTGTCGTCGTCGTCGTCGCCTACGTCGTCCTCTGTCTTTCCTCGTGTTCGTCGTCGTCCTCCTCTTTGGCGTCGTGGTCGTTTCCGTCGTCGTTGTCGCCGTGGTCGTCCTTCCTCCTCCTCCCACGTCGTCGTCGTCGTCCGTCGTCGGCGTCTCGTCGTCGTCCTCCTATTTCGTCGCCGTCGTCGTCGTCGTTCGTCGTCGTCGTCTTCCCTCCTCCCTCGTCGTTGTCGTCGTCGGCGTCGCCGTCCTTCCTCCTTCGTCGTCGTTCGCGTCGTCGCCGTCCTCCCTCCTCCCTCGTCGTTGTCGTCGTTGTCGCCGTTGTCGCCGTCGTCGTCCTTCCTCCTCCATCGTCGTCGCGTTCGTTGGCGTCGTCGTCGTCGTCTTCGTCGTCGTCGGCGTCGGCGTCGTTGTCGTCGTCGAAGTCGTCGGAGACGTCGTCGGTGTCGTCCTAGTCGTTGTCGTCGGTGTCGTCGCAGTCGGTCTTAATAGGTTTTGCAAACCAAGTTGCGGGTGGGTGGGTGGGATGTTTGCGCGAGCAGTGGAGATGACGACTTCAAGTTCAGCAGAGTGGAATCCACCCCATAATAATCACCCCGACAAGCAAAGCCGTTTAGTAAACGCACAGAAGCCGAACAAAGCAAGCCTGTTTAGTCAACGCCCAGGTCCGTTCAGAAACCGTCAATTGTCGGGTCCGGGTGGTTTTTACTCCCTTGAGTGTGGGTCGCGGGGTGGGTCGCGGGGTGGCTCGCGGGTGGGTCGCGGGTGGGTCGCGGATGGGTCGCGGATGGGTCGCAGGGTGGGTCACGGATGGGTCGCGGGGTGGGTCGCGGGTGGGTCGCGGGATGGGTCGCGGGTGGGTCGCAGGATCGGTCGCGGGTGGGTCGCGGGGTGGGTCGTGGGTGGGTCGCGGGTGGGACGACGACAACAAGCAGCAACAACAACAACAGCAACAACAACAATCATGTTACCCTCATGCGCGATGTTTCAACACAAAGCATGCGACCATCATGATAACCATCCACATCATGGGGGACTCTTGTTCTATAGCGGGGTCCGTTATTCTGATTCCCAGATCTCCAGCCCAATGAGGTCTTGCAAACACCTCCTCCGAGGAATTTCAACATGTCTCGCCTCGAAACACATGCCCGCGCCTTGCTGCGCCGATGCGAGACCGCCAGTGGAACCCCAGCCCAGGGGAGAGCACACGGAAGCATCGAGCGACAGGACTGCCTTGGTGGGGGTTGGGGCTGTCGGCAGTGAGGCAAGGACCTGGCCCTGAATAGAAAGGGAAGAAGTCTCGAGCAGGGCTGCTGTTGCTGCTGGGAGCGGCGCCAATGCAAAAGAGAGTTGGGCGCTAGTCCAGCGTAAAGCAAAACAAAGTCTCGAGCGGGAACGCTGGTTTTGTTGCGACGGCGGCTTTCGGCGGCGAGGAGGAACACCGCCTTGAGTAAGAAAGGAGTAAGCATCGAGCGGGAGCCGTGGTTTTGTCGGGACGGGGGCTGTCGGCGGCGAGGGACAGCACCGTCCCGAGGAGAAAGGGAGGAAGCCTCGAGCGGGAGCGTTGTTCTTGCTGGGAGCGGCGCCAATTCAAAAGAGAATTGGGCGCCAGTCCAGCGTAAAACGGAAGGACGTCTCGGACGGGAGCGCTGGTTTCGTCGGGGCGGGCTGGTTTTCGGCGGCGGGAAGAACCCGTCCTTGAGGAGAAGGGAGAAAGCACGAGCAGGACCGTGGTTTTTGTCGGGACGGGGGCCTGTCGGCGAGGGCAGCACCGTCCCGAGAGAAAGGGAGTAAGCCCTCGAGCGGGAGCGTTGTTCTTAGCTGGGAGCGGCCCAATTCAAAAGAGAATTTGGCGCCAGTCTCCCTCGTCAAACGGAAGGAAGTCTCGGCGGGAGCGACTGTTTGTTCGGGGGCGACGGCTTTCGGCGCGAGGAGGAGCCACCGCTTGAGCAAAAAGTGGAGGAGCCTCCAGCGGGACGTTGTTATTGCTAGGGCGCCGATGAGAGAAAGACTAGCAGCTCCCATCCAAGGCCAAAACAGGAGAAATCCTCGAGCGGGAGCGCTGGTCTTTGTTATGACAGCGGCTTCGGCGGCGAGCAAGAACACCAGCCTGAGCGGAAAATAAGAGTCTCGCGAACAGGAGCGTTGTTGTTTGTTTGGGGGCCGGTCCTCCTTGGCGGTCCCCCATCGCTCAATCGTGAGCCTCATTTCAATTGAAAATATAGCCGGCCCTCGGCCGAGAGCGCCATTGCCGCCTTTCAGGTGTGCCCAAACAAACAATCATGGTTTTTGTGGTTACACATTCACAGACGACAACACAACGCAACAGCAACAGCAACAGCAACATCCAAGCAAACAAAACAACAACAACAACACAACAACAACAACAACAACAACAACAACAACAACCCAACAACAACAACAACCCACACAACAACAACACACAACACACAACCAACAACCAGCAACAACAACAACAACCAACAACAACACAACGCACCACAACAACAACAACAAAGGCACAAGCAGAAAATTACCACACCACGATTCCACGCACGCAGGGACAATGAATTACCGTTCGGACCCTCCATTCTGATATATATTTATATATATAGATATATTATATATATATATTATATATATATTATACATACATACCTATAGGAGAGAGAGAGAGGTCTCGCTCAGTTACTCAACCCACAGAGAGACAGACGGACACGAACAACAGACGTCGCATGGCAATGCGACGGGTGGTAGCACATGTCGCGCGTACATGCGGCGCACCGCACGGAATTACACGACCCGTGCATGTGAACCGAGAAGAACTGTTGAGAAGAACTGTTGGGACATGTCCGCCAGTATGTTCAACTGGCATATAGCATTCACTTACCATGGGCCACACATGGTGTGTCTCCAACTCAGCGTGTCCCTCACAAGAGACGTATGTACGGCTGTCCATACAACCAACTGTACTGCTTACCGCACCGTGTCCGTTCCATGGCGCCCCCCGAACAGAAACAGCAAGGGCCAAGAAGCTGAGTTTCGCACTTGTACGGGCCTCAAGGCTGGTCGCGCATTGCTCATTACTTGGTGGCGCTGAGGGAGGCAGAAGAGGTGGGAAAAGGAAGGAGTCTATGCAGGGCCCAAAAGGCCTCCAGAGGCGTACTGAAGCCCCCAGGGGCCTAGAAGGGACGACAAACAGCCAAGGATGAGAAGGGGAAGGAAGAGGAGGAGAAGGAGGAGGATGAAGAGGAGGAGGAGGAGGAGGAGGAGGAGGGAGTGGGGAAAAGAGGGAGTAGAGACGTGGCGAGAGGGACTGAGGGGGCGAGGGTCGCAGTCCTCGCGCCACCCTAAAGAACGACACAGAACGCGCTTCTCTGGCCACGGCGAGCCTCGGCCACGAGCCGGCCCTCGGACCTGGATCTCTACGGAGCGGCCCGAAGACCAGAGCCCTTTGAGGTCCTGACATCAAGCTCGTGGCCGCGGTGCTGGAGAGGGCGCGCCCCGGGCAGGCCCCGCCCCTGCCCTCGCCGCGCCGGGCCCCCCTTGAAGGGGCCCCAGGACACACAGATAAATGCACACATCTTTTTTTACAAAAAAGCAGCAACAACAACAACAACAACAACAACAACAACAACAACAACAATCACTTTACCCGAACGCTCAGTGTTCTCACCAGTGCCAGGGTTTTCATGCGACGCCAGCCAATACCCCCACTTTGTGGGGGGGCAGTGCAAGCTCTACCAAATATCCACACGACTCTTCGCCACCACCCACACCCAGCTTCCCGCCCTATGACGTTCGGACACTTCACTTCGTGGCCTGCGGACGACCGTGGCTACTACACTGGCGTGGAGTACACACCCACAGAAGTTGTTAGGACAGCGCGCGCGGGTAGAAATTTTGAAAAGTCGTGCAGGTGTTTTTCGAGGACCTACGGTGCGATTCGTGTGATTTTATGATGCGCGGTGCTAAAATTCTTAAGAACCCAATGGTTTTTGGAGATTTCGGCGTGCGCGCGCGAAGAAAAAACGAATGTGTCCCGCATGGTATTATTTGACAGGGATGATGGCCCTGGCAGGTGCGCAACCGTTGTCGCAGAAGTTCGAAAAAGTTGCTCGCAAAAGCCCGTTTGACAGAAATGTTTAAAAAGTGTTGGGTTTCCTACGAATCCGCAAGAGCGCGCGGGATGAGATTTTGACATTTTTTTGTTGAAAAACCATTGGTTTTTTGATGTTTTTATGTTAAAATCGTTCCGAACACTAAGCTTTTGGAAGGATTTCGTCTTGCGCGCGCGAATGTCCACTTTACCTTATTTTTTGCAAGGGATTCTTGAAATTTGATTATATTAGAACAAGAAATGTCATTTTATAGTGTTTTTTGCAAGGGAAAACGGATTACAACAAAACAACCGGATCTGATGACATCGTATTACCTGAGGCTTCCTCACGAAAATGATGAAAATGTAGCTGCGGCCTAGGCGGCGCAGGGGGGGCGCGCACCAGGGGGCCCAACAATAATTATTCTTTAGAATTAATAATGTTCAACAACAACAAAAATTGGGGGGGGTTCTGTCTTCCCCCCCACTTCCCGTATGTTCCCACATTTTCTGGGGAATCGTAGATTCATTGTGTCTGTGTGTCTGTTCACCTCCTGACCCATGACCCCGAACCCGCTCGCGCGCAGAGCTCAGGCAGCGCGCGGTGCGGGGTGCAGGGTCCGCCGGCCTGGCGCCGCTCTTCCGCCGCCCTCCGCCGAGGAGGGGAGGTCAACTCGTTCGACCCCGGACAGCCAGGAGGCCCTTTCTGCAACGCAGCCATGTGGACAGCACCGCGGCTGCACGACGGCAGCAACTGCAAGAGAAAGACAGCGGGGTGAACCCGCGTGGTTGGGCCTTGCACTTGCGAGGTCTTGGAGAATTCTCATGAACTGTACCCGTGCTCCCCATCGGGAGCAGCAGTTTGTTGACAAGTACGACAAGAAGTGCTACATGAATTGGGCCATCATGGTGCTGGCCAGCCCTGTCCAAGGCACGCACTTCCACACCGCATTGCCTTCATAATGATGCCCCGTCCAGGGTCGCGTGGGCGTTCACGAGCTTCGCCCACCTGTACGCTCTCTCTTCTACATTTCTGTTCCGCCATTCTCGGCTGCTGGAGGGGCGTCTTGGGCTTCGCTGCGCACCCGGCGCCCTTGGCACTGCCCCCCCTCCTCTTCTTCTGGCTGCCGGAAGGTACTCGTGCCACGGTATCGCGTTGACGTCCACGGGACTGGTGGGTAAGCCTTTCCCCGGTGGGCGCTGTCATCGTGGAGCCAGAGGCCCAGGCACGCACTACCTCTGCAACGTCGGCGTCCGCGGGGTCTCTGGGGCTTCACCGTATAGCCTCGGAGCCGCTGGCGCCCCCTGGCCGACGTCCCTCTCGTTCCCAGTCCTGGCGGAATTCTTCTCCTGCATGTCCTTCGGCGGCTACAAGGCCGCCGGGCGTTCGTCATCGGCTACCTGTGCGTGGCTGCGCACGACAAGAAATTCATAGCCGTGTTGGCTTGGACGGCATCTTCGCGGTGTCCCTGTACTTCGAGGTCGAATCCTTCGTGGACTCCTCTAGCTTCGCCTAGAGGGTGAGGGGCACAGTCATCCTGGCCCACGTGCAGATTACCAAAGACAGCGGGGTGAACCACGACGACAACCACGCCATCGGTATCGAACCCGTGTGGTTGGGCCTCGAGATACCCGATTGCGGGAGAAACTCTGCGATGAGGGGCTTCGAGGTACTGAGGGGTGTGATGAGCATTTTCTCCGTGCTCCCCACGGGGGGTCCACGTTTTGCTGACATGTATGCCACAAAGTGCTTCTTGAACTGGGCCTGCCCTGTCAAGGGAGCGTACTTACACATCGCATTACCTTCATCATGATGCCCCGTCCAGGGGCGCGTGGGCGTTCACGAGCTTCGCCAACCTGTACTCTCTCTCTCTCTCTCTCTCTTCTACACCTCTGCATCGCCTTTCTCGGCTGCTGGAAGGGCGCCTTGGCCTTCGCTGCAGAGCTGGCGCCCTTGGCACTCGGCTGCTGGAACGTCGTCTTGGACTTCCCTGCACGTTCCGCGCCCTTGGCACTGCCCCCCCTCCTCTTCTTCTGGCTGCCGGAAGGTACTCGTGCCACGGTATCGCGTTGACGTCCACGGGACTGGTGGGTAAGCCTTTCCCTGCTTGGCGCTTTCATCGTGGAGCTAAAGGCCTAGGCACGCACTACCTCTGCAACGTCGGCGTCCGCGGGGTCTCTGGGGCTTCACCGTATAGCCTCGGAGCCGCTGGCGCCCCCTGGCCGACGTCCCTCTCGTTCCCAGTCCTGGCGGAATTCTTCTCCTGCATGTCCTTCGGCGGCTACAAGGCCGCCGGGCGTTCGTCATCGGCGACCAATGCCGGGCTACGCACGACAAGGAATTCATAGCCATGTTGTCTTGTACGGCATCTTCGCGGTGTCCCAGCACTTCGAAGTCTACCCCCTCGTGGACTCCTCTAGCTTCGCCTAGACGCGGGAGGCTGGGAATGGCGGGAGACTTGAGGGCCCCTTTCGCGAAGGGAGCCCTTCCCAGAGATCAGACTAAGCCAAGCCAGGACGAGGATAAAATCGGGTGAGGATACATCAAGACTCTCTGAGATATGGCGGCTTTGGAGGATGTCTCGGGCGCCGCGGCCTTCTCAGAGCGTTCCGGAACGCTCCGAGAGCTCTCCTGAACGCTCTGGAACGGACTTATCCTCGTCCTGGCCTGGTCCGGGGAGATCCAGACCAACGCCGAGCAGCGGCAGAAGTGCACGGCAAGGGCAAAGGATAACGCAATGGCGCTGTAAGCAGAAGGATGCCGGGCTGCCGCACCCAGAGTTTCGCGCTCTCGAACTCCCGCTCGTGCTCATCCAACGCCTGGCCAGGAGCAGAGGTCGGCACGGATCTGACGTTGATCGATGCTCCTCCACCTCCTCCTCCTCCTCCTCGTCGTCCTCATCCTCCTC